GCAAGGTTGTGATTGAGATTTTAATTTCCTCTATAGCTCTTTGACTCTGCTTCATGTGATCTATTCTTTCCAGTGTAGCCGGAAGTTGTCCCACATACTCATGGTGCATGGCCAGGACTGGGTCTGGGGGTTCCAGGGACGCGGCAGAAATTCCTCTCTCCTGTGTATCTTAATGAATTTGTAATTGTTTAAAGTAGGTTGTAGTGATAATCTTCAAGGTTTACAAAACATATTATACTTCTTTTTAAATGAGTGTTTTTAACCATTAAATTTATTTTTTGAATATTTAGAGCAATTTAGTTACAATATTTTTATGTAACAGTCTACTTACTTGTCTTGATTTTAATATTAATAAGGTATCCCTAGTAATTTTCCAGTGAGCATGGTAAAGAACACTAAATTGAGCTAGATGTTCTATCATGTTAGGGAAGATGGAACTGTCTACATTTAATCAACTCCTTTAAGTTAGTAGTAACTTTTTTGTATCCGATGTCCTCTCAGTGTTATGAATAAGAATAGGCATTCACGTTGATTTCTTGCCTTCATTCTTCAAGGTCATGCATTCTACTAATATTTTAATAGTGAAACTCTTCTAACATTTGGAGGGGCGGACTTTCCACCGCTGTAGAACATGCAGGAAGTGCGCAGTGGGCTCAGGCCCTCTCCCCAGGGCAGCGCAGCTTCCAGGCTCTGCGTCTTGGGCTCCGTGCTTGGGTCTGTGGCAACTCCATGTCACAGTTCAGTGAGGAGGAGCGCAAGCCCAGCAGCGCCGCTCGCTGTGTGGTCTGAAATCAGAGGGAAAGAAGGGGCTGAGGCTCCCCATCTTTCTGAAGGAATCCCGACTTCCTCCGCGAGGCCCTCGTAGTTGTAGGCTGAGGAAGAAGCTGTAACACAGGAGCTCTGGTGGCTCTCTCAAGGCCTGGACCCTGGCCCTACTCGACAGAACACGACTCACATTTATGACTGACTTAAGACGGTGTGCTGGGTTCTTTTCACACCCAATTTGTTTCTCAGGTAGGACTGAGGGCATTTGCAGGGGTCACCTCTGTGCTGTGATGGTTGGAGTTTGTTAAAGAGGGAATGTATCCAGCTGGTGTGGATTAAGACATAATCTTGAAACTTTCTAAAAGCAAACCTGGAAATAGAGCCCAGTAGAGGAACTCTATAGGGCCTGTGTCCAGCCAAACTGACCCAACCTGTTTTGGCTCAGTGGAAAACTCTCATTCAGGTTGTTTTTGTTTTGCCTTTACAGAGGAACTTTTTCTAAGTATTTACCTTAACAGTTTTGGAGAGAGGAACAGATTAGCTCAGTCCAACATGATTGGCAGTTGGTCAAATCTAGTGAAGCAAGTATCCTGATTGCTAAGGATTTCATTTGCATGCTGTTAATGCCTAGCCCTGTAACACCTCCAACATAATCCAGAATAAATGCATCATTCTCCTTCCCTTTCCCTTTAAGTGTTCACCTACCTCACTTCATTATGGAAACAGCTTCATTAAGTGATTCCCAGAGAAAACGACAGCATTTTTTCCTAAAGAAGTGAGCTCCCTGGAGGACAGGCCATGAGGACAGTGCACAAAAGAAAACTTCAAAATAAAACTCTGAAAGTAATTTAGTAATCTAAGGAAATAAATCCAAGATATTAAGAAACAAATCCAGTTGCAAATGCACTCAGAGGTCTATGTGGAGAGGTTGGTGAACACAGGAAAACGGCTGGCTGTTTACAAGATACCAAGCAGGCACTTGCACTGATCAGCCCAGCGCTGGCCCTCAGAGGCTGAACGTGTTCTCCCCGCTGCAGGCCACATAGAAGGACCAATCTTCATCCTATTCCTTCCCGTAAAGCTGCCCCCTACTTAGGCAGGACTGTGGGACCGTCTTGTCCACAAGCAGGAAGGTCGCCTTTTCAGAAGTAAGCTGGATGCTTTTCCTGATGAGCCACATAAACGGAGCCACAGTGATGTCAGACGGAACCAAGCGCTGCCGTTGGTCAGGGTCAACAATCTGAGAGCCTGCGACCTTTTCCACAATCACCGGAACCCGATCGGGATATATCGCTCACATCTTCGCGAATCCTGCGCATCTATGTGCCAGTGAGAGGTCCCCCTTGAACATCCACTTCATGGTGGTGAGGGAGGGGACCGAGGTGTCTCTGTGAGAGCTGTGAGGTTCACCGAGCCAACCACAACAACAGTGGCGATGGTGGAGACTGAGAAAACTACCTCGTTTAGTGTTGAGACCAGACAAACAAGGACTAGAAGATCAGGAGCGTCTCGCAGCACGCGGACTTCCCTCCGGCTCTGCTTCACTTAGGACTCTTCAGAGCTGCCTGGGCGCGTGTCTGATCACCTTAGCCATCCTGGTGCTACCCTAGATTATTTCACTTTATGGACATAAGAAAGCTCTGTGCTCCCCAATAAATTCAGTGCCTTGCTGTCTGGTGGGAAAAAGGTAGCATAGTCTCCTGTGATCCTCCTAGGAGAAATCTTCAATAATTTGAGAATTATCTGCACGCATTCAAGTTACTTAACCACTTAATAGGGCTATTTAATTTAAGAAAATATTACTATGTTTATGTAAAACAATACCTTAATATGTTTATCTGTTTTTATCTCATTTCTAGTTTATTAGTGCAGGATCCGTCACGCTGGCAGCAGGATTAAAGACTACAAAGAGCTTGGTGAGCAGCGTCTCCTTGTCTTTTATTTTTATCAAAGTAAAGATGTCCATTTAATGTAATATGCTTTCTGCAAACTCAAACGTAGTTTGCTTCTACCGCTTTGTATATCCAAGAGGTTTTCACTGTGCTGATTAATCTGTCTTTCCATAATTGTACTCAAATCATCACAAAATGGGACAGTGCCTCAAAGGCGCCCAGGGTGCGGGACAGGGAGCGACCGCGGGAGTGTTCGTGGACATGCAGAGGCTCTGGACAAGAAGCGTCACGCAGAGCCACTCAGAGGACTTCGGGTCAGCACCAAGACAGGGACATCAAGTAACGAGTGACAGATGCTTATGAGCTGACTGATAAAAATATTATTTTAACTTCATCCAGAAAGGGTTCTGAGTTTTCAGCTAGAACATAAGGTCTATTTAAGAGGAATCCAATGCAGAGTACTGCTGTGAAGAATATGCCACCACGAAGATAGCAATATGCAATGTATTCACTATTGAAACTGTCCTACTAATCGGTTTTGAAACTGTCTCATTGCTATTTGTTTCTTAATAAAATTAAGAAAAAATAAAAATATAATACGAAAAAGATAGTAAAAAGAATTAAAAAATGAAGAAGAATATGCCTTTCAGGAAACCAGTGAAAACAACATGTCTTTTTTCCCCCCTTTTTTGGTACCGCAGATCGAACTCAGGACCTTGAGCTTGCCAGGCAGGGACTTACACCATGAGCTATCTGCCAGACCTAACCAATGAAAACAGAAGCCCAGGTCCCTAGAAATAGCTTAGTGTCTACACACACATATAAGTCATCGTTGCCCAAAGCCTAATGTAGATGCGGCAGCCTGGTCCATCTGTCCTTTCTCACCCTGGCCAGCCCCTGCCTCCCCAGCATCTGCCTCAGCTGCACACACTAACAGGTCCTTTGTAGATACTCACACCAAGCACACTGTCCTGAGCAATATTTGACCTTGCAGAAATTGATTTCACCCTGAGAGGAGATCGCACACCAGGAAAGGCACAAGAGGAAGACACAACGGGCAGAAGACATGGAGTCCTGAGGACAAAAGTCTGGGCAGTGCTGAGCTCTGGGCGTGTGCAGCCGAGCTTGGCAGGGAGGACAGAGGTGACCCCGCACAAGTGCAGCACACATTGCCATCCTGCTAGCGAGCCGTGTGGGTCTTTGCTCACAGACATCATCTGCAGAAGGCAGCTGGGATCAAGAAGCTCCTACCTTTGTCTTGAGAGAACAATGGACTGGAAACGTCCACTTTAAGGGACTGTAGTGGATCCAGATGACAAGGCTGAAGTGTGCTGGGAGGCACGCAGAGGGCTCCATGGGGACAGGTGTACTTGAACTCTTCAACTGTGAACCTGTTCTCGTTCCTCTCCAGGTCCAAGCCTCTGTGGGCCTGAACATCACCAGCTCCGTGTTTGCAGTTATAGGCATCATTATCCATAGCCTCAGCATCTTCATCAATTCGTCGTGTGCAGGACCACAATGTTCCATATTCTACTCATTTTTCCGGGTAAGTGCCACCTCCTTCCCGGAGAGCTGTGGTGTGAGCGAGTGTGGGGCGCACAGGCTCTGTCCACCGCACTGACCCTGATGTACTGGCCATCTCGCGGGGAGCTGGACGTGACTGAGCAGAGCAGTATTCCACATAGGACCAGGTCCACATCTGATCTGCGGCGCTTCCTCTTCTAGATGTTATGAGGCCAATTGAGAAGAGAGCTCACGGGACAGAGCACACGTCCTCAGGAGAGATGGTGCTGGACGCTTGTGCGTTGGTGTCATGCTAATTAGTAGCACCGACCAGTGTGCACTGTTTTCGTACCTAAGACTGGAGGCAGCTTCAGTCCTGTGAGGCCCTGGGCTTCGGCCAGGAACCCCGCGGGGCACACACTTCTCCGAAGGGGAAGGACAGCTGTCTGGAGCACCGTGCTCCCTCCGCTCTGCCCAGCCCGGGCTGCGCTTGCCCCAGGCTCCCCGTCAGCTTCACCGCTCCTCCCTGGACAGCTCTCTGTGCCTCATCTCCAGCTTGGTGTCTTTGCATGTCTGCCCTCATGCCTGGCAGAGTCATTGATCTACTCTCCAGGTTGACACTACGCAGTGTTAGCCAGGAAGCTTCTGGAGGCTCTGGCCCCTGGGCCAGGCAGGTGGAGGACCTGCTGTTGCCCTTCGGGGGACACTAAGCTAGACAGTGATGTCTGTTTGCTGAATCCCTTTTAGGGTCTGGATGGCCTCGTGCTGGCCTTCTCCTTGCTGGAATTCGCCATTGCCGTGGTCCTCTCCCACTTTGGATGCCAAGTAGCTTGCTGCAGCTGCAGTGAGGTAAGTACTGGTCTTCACCGGAAACTATGGCTGGGAGCTTCCCATTTCACTGTAATTAATTACATGAAACAAATTCTTGCAATGTCCCACTCTCCAGGGGCCAGGGGTCTGGGCACAGCTGGGAGGGCTCTCCTGCCCAGCGTGATACAAGCCTAGCACAGGCAGCTGGCGGGCCACAGCCCCACCTCAACCTCCTGGCTCTCCTCCATGCTGTGTGGTAGAAACCTACCCCTC